CTGAAGAAAAAAACTAAGCCTCAACTTGCAATATTGAACGATTCTATGGGCAAAATATTGAAAGATGCAGAAAGCTTCAAAAGAAGATGGAAGGAAGGAATACAGTCATTGTACCAAAGAGAAGTGGTCTATGTAAACGGTACTGACTGGATGGGACACAGCCACCAACACTGTATTTAAGTTCATTGTTCTCTGTTCCTTCTTAATCAGAGATACAAGCTGATATTTCTTTTGTATAACACTTTTATAATCTAATTCATAAAATGTTTTCTCATTTGAAATAAAACAATTGTATTAAATCTTTTAACAAACTGAGGCAACACTGAAGGTGTACTCACTCATCTATGCCAAGACACTTGGAAGACAGCTACCTGGTTTACAGATATCCATAGTTGTGCCCATTCTAAAGACAGGTGACCGAATAGAATGCAGAACTTATTGGACAATATCATTAATATCACATGCAATTAAAATTTTGCTAAAAATAATTTTAAAATGGCTGCACCAGTGTACTTCCAGGGAACTGCCAGAGGTTCAGGCTGAATTCAGATGAGGGCATGGAACGAGGGATATCATTGCTGATGTCAGATGGATCTTAGCTGAAAGCAGAGAACATCAGAAAGATGTTTACCTGTGCTGTATTGACTACGCATAGGCTTTTGACTGTGTGGATCATGACAAGATATGAATAATATTTTGAAGAATGGGTATTACAGAACACTTAATTATGCTCATGAGGAACCTTTACATAGACCAAGAGGCAGTTGTTTGAACAGAACAAGAGAACACTAAATGGTTTAAGATCTGGAAAGGTGTGTGTCAGGATCGTATTCTTTCACCATACTTAGTGTGTATGCTGAACAAATAATCTGAGAAGCTGGATTATATGAAGAAGAACATGGCATCAGGATTGGTGATAGACTCATTAACACCCTGTAATAAGCGGACAATACAACATTGCTTGCTGAAAATGAGGAGGACTTTGAAAACCTGCTGATGAAGGCAGGGCTTGC